AACATTACGACGATGGTTCTAATGTAGTGTAGCAAATGTAGTAGTTGTCATTAACACAGAAAAGTGGAAGGGTAGTTTTCTGAGTTTACACTGCTGTCTTCTTTCACTGGCTGGAGTCAATCTTCAGTTTTGTTCTCTTTTAGCTGTTCGATTAAGAAACTGCCGTGATCTTTTTTTTTCAGCGTCTGTGCGACAGTGGAAGTCGTCTTGTGGTGATAATTGTTGAGACACTCATTCTCAGTCTTCAGCTCTTCAAAGGAGAGTGCTAACACCACCCACTACATGTCACCATATACTTTTCCATTGCTGGCTATTGTCAATTAGAATATAAGTATGTTTTAGTTGTTTTATTTTTTGCTTGACTGATGTCATGTTTGGCTGATTGTCACAGGACTTTCGACTGAGGGATGCGCTTCGTGATGGTTCCCCTTCTTGAGATTGTGAAGTAAGCTTTGAAAAAATGAGTTAAGTTTCCAATTTTTCTTTTCAGGGTTTCGTTGTCAATATGGCTTCCTCTATTTGTGTACTGCTCTCACTAGAGCTCACCTTGGGCTAATACACCTTAGCATTTTGACTTTCATATTTCTTAGGATTGACCTTAATCTATCTAACACCTCATTGTTCCAATTAAGGCAAATACGAATAAGTAACTACCGTAGGTGTGTAGCGCTACGTTACATGGATACCAGGGTATGTTTTGTGTAGAATGACCTAAGAAATATTCTTTAAATCCCATGTTTTTTCCAAGAATATGTTCGACGAAAATGTTATCATAGGGCTTTATTGCATCAGTTCACCTGGTTAACATTGTTTTGAATATCTGTCGTTTCTTAAGGCTTCAATTAGTGCTTTCTTTTCTATTTGCTTTGCGACCCTAACAACCAATTATAAAATTGATCTAATTCTCATTCGTATGTGTTATTTAAGATCTGCTAAAAAACCGAACAACCGCGAAGCCGGAGTGTGAGGCGTCGCATTTGACTTAAGTGTTTTGTTTCACGTCTACATGATGGTTATTCATCGTTTTCTAATTGTTCTTTGATTTCTGGAATGCTTGTTGTGAGTTGGTCGAAGATTTTTTTAACAAAATGCGTTTTTATCAGGTTTTTAAATGATGATGATAGGGTTGCCATTTTAGGGATATACTTTTTAAGTTTATCTATTGAGCCCATTCAAGATCTAGTGTCCATTATGCACATCGCATCCTTTGAATTTTTGATCGCATCCGCGACTGATAGTTTGGTTCCATGGTTTTCAGTTTTGGAACAGAGCCACTCGATATCATAAGTAAAAATTGGCATCTCTCCCAATTAATAGGTATTCTTTTTTCGCCGTGTGTTTTCAGACCTTCCAAAATTGTTTTTATTACCTGAAGCTGAACATGCGGTGTCTATCAAAATTCATCTAAGTAGCTATAGGTTTTAGAATTTCCACGATTAACAAGAATGTAATAATGCTAAGAAAAATGTAATAATGAACTTAAGTGAAGACTAAGTATTGAAACAAGGTTTTCTTAGCTTATCTATTCGATTAAAATAGTTTTAAATCAGTGTCGAACTCGCAGATAAATTTTTTCATCCAAACCCAATTGTACAATGAAAGCGTTTAAAAGCTTGACTGCTTGCAGCTAGTGATTAAAAAGGAATTAATTGCAGTGCTGCTGCTACGCAATTATTTTAAAATGATTTTGTTTCTCAATGTTGAAGATAATTAGAGTTCAACAAAGTGCTGATTTAAGTAATCCGGACAACATGAACAAAACTTGGATTTTCAAACGCGTTTTTCTCAATTTCGGTTAAGATTAGACAAAAAACGAAGAAACAGAAAGTTTGCTTAAAATTTCACCAGAATTAATATGGTGCAATTTTTTCTCCAAATTTTCAGCCAAAATTTTTACCCCAAAAATGGGTCAATTTGGCTTTTTAATTAATCAAGAATTATGCTGAAACTACTTTATTATAGATGAGAAATTTATTTTACAAGAAGCCTCTTACACAGCTCAACCAAGTTCTAGAAGGGTTAAATCTCCAAAAAGCTGTATAAAACAAAATTTTTTGCTTGATAAACGAGAAATGTGATTTTTACTATGTAAAACCCAAAATCTTTGCTTAAAGGCAATTTTGAACATTTTGCGCAACATTTTGGAGATTTAACCCTTCTAGAACTTTGTTTGGCTGTGTAAGAGGCTTCTTGTAATAGAATTTTACCCATCTATTAATAAAGTAGTTTCAGCGTAATTCTTGATTTATTAAAAAAAAAAAGTTTTTTTGGGGGGTACAATTTTGGCTGAAAATTTTGGATAAAAAATATTTATTCTGGTGAAATTCTAAGCAAACTTCGTTCTCTTCGCTTTTAGTCTAATAACAATCCAAATTGAGAAAAACGCGTTTGAAAATTCGCGTTTGTTCGTTCTGTCCTGATAATTTAAATCAGCACTGTAGCGATTATTTCAATATTTTAATGGAAAGTGGATTGATGTTTTTGATTTGCCCTCATTTTGTTTTTTTTTGTATGTTTTGGCGAAGAGTGCATTTCATTAGTGGTTTACCTTCTTGGATGTATGTTTTCAGTTTCGTGCCGTGCCTTCTGGGTATTTTACTGATTTCGCAGTTTTCATTAATTTGGAAAAAATTGACTTTCAGGTTTTTTTGGTATCTCAATTTTGCGGAGCTCCGTTTTGCCACACTAGGGCCTTATTAAATTGGACAGATGCTTTTCCCGTTAAGCAAATGATCTAACTCTTTTTCTGAATCATTTGATTGAAGAAACTCAAGCTTCCAATAACAATATGCAAAGAGCGCAAAAATGAACTTTGAGTTACTTCGATTCAAAAGTGGGTTCTAGTGTTGTTATTATTTTTCAATGGAGTACAATTTTTACCGATTGATCTAGTTTTTTTGGATGAAGTTTATTGAAAGAGTATCAAGCATGCCCTACACTGCGCAAAATTCCTATTCCGCCCTTTGGACAGTTTAGGGCATGCTTGATATTTTTTAATCGCCACACACAAGATATAATGAAATAAGAGACACGTTTTCGGATGCACCGGTGGCGCTGATTTTCGGATGCACCGGTGGCGCTGCTCCGACAGCCACGTGGACGGTGCAGCGATTAGTCGAGAAACTGAATGAGAAAAGGCAAGAAAGCTACCCGGAATCGATGAACTACTTAAGAACTAAACTAAGCTTCGCGCTCCTCGGTAGCTTCGTACTATGTAAGTGATTGCAGATCGCTGCACAAAATTCTATTTATCGACAACTCTATAAGCGCCATTGTAGAGTCAAGACTGTTAAGGTAAATTAACATTACGACGATGATTTTATTGCTAATATTTGACTTCATTGATACAATGATACGGTTTATATATGCTTTTTTATAACGCTGGTATGGCCCTACCCAGCTTGTGCACTGACTGTAAATAAATGGAAGGGCCTCTTTTGTAATTCAAATGCAGTAACAAAACATTATATGTTCATAAAATTAAATCATGTAAGATGATTAATAGTCGTGAATGTAGTGAGTACTCTTGTATAGATTTTGGTGATTTTTTTGAAGTTTTCTTAAGGGAAAGGTCTTAAAGTTTGTTCACGCTACAAACTTCGGGGTTTGATTTTTGATTTCTGATCTAGTTCATTTCATTTCCTTTTTTCGATGGAAGGCAAACTCCCTTATCGATTAGCAAATGTAAAGGTCACGGAAAACGTGATCGATTTCTAGTTTCGGAAAAGGAAATTAATATTTAGATACCCCAGCGCAATAAAAACTTTACCTAATGATCGAGTTGTCTTTCAGTTTGAGTTATTTTTAAATCAAAAAAGTGTCAATCATAAGTTGTTCCTGAAAGTTTAAGATATATTTTGATGAAAACCTGTGGCACTTTCAACTAGCTTGAAAATTTTCAATTTGCCCTTCAATATAGTCAGTGCAAAAAAAAGACAGAAGCTTAAAACAATTTTCGAAAATTTAGTTTGAATCATTACTTGAAAAAATAACATGAAAAAGTTGGGAAAAACACAGCGACAAATCTTCATGTTTGTATCGGATGAAGTTCATAAGCAGCCCTAAAACAATTGGAAATTATTTTCAGATCGGTAACAAAGGCGACAAGTTTTGGGTCGAAACCTGTTGAGCCGACTACAAAACTGTTGGCAAAAAAAAATGAAGTTTAGAAAGTTTTTACGACCCATCCATACTGAGGCACAAAATACTATACGAATATGATCTACCCTCAAAGTTACGCAATTTAATTTGACTGAGCGGAAATAACAACTTGAGTTTTAATCAATTTTTAAAAAAAAATGAAAAAAAGTTACGTAAAATCAGACTTGGTAAATTTACAAATTACTGAATATTATTTTAAGTTAATAATAAAGTTAAGAGTAAATAGTTGTTTAAATTGGAATAAAACCCACGTTTCAAAAAGTAGGTCAATAAAAACCCTACCAGAAAAAATGTGCGGTTAAAAAAACGGAAATTCAACCGGCAGAAACTAGGACGAAAACTACAAACCGGAAAAATCACGATTCCGAAAAAAATAGAAATTTGAGAAAAATCAATAACAACCTGAAACAGTATTTAGCTAATTACTACGTAAGTGATGGTAGTTTTATTTGAATTTCAAGATTTTGAGCATGTCAAAAGTGATAGTCATCCTTCCTAGTAAAATGACCACTCTGTCAACAAAGTTGTTTACAGGAAAAAATTCTAGTCCCCGATTTCAATACCCTTGCGTATCACAAGGGTAAAGAACACTTTAGTGTTTTTTTTTCTGTTTTCTTGCATTCATGACTGTTTTTCCAATGATCTGTTGGCTGTTGTAAGTTTTTCCGACCCTAAAACTTAAAAAAAAAAACGCAATTTTTTGCCTCCTATGTTGCCTAACTATGTTGGCTCTGTGAAGAGTTTTGTTAAACCTGAGTTTTTGTAAAGAGAATTCGTGGACCCAGGAATGTTTATATTGCTAAAATTTTTGGTAAGTATGACAGATGTTTGATGTTTAGACTACTGAGCACAAAGTTTGTCCTATTTGTAAAGAGAAGCTGACTGAATCAGCTCTGATAAGCCACATGTACGATGTCCACAAGGTTCAAAAAGAAGTCTACATGAAGCTCATGGACAGGAGAAGTTAATTTGATAGCGTAGTGATGAAACACACATCCCTCAATCATTGTTTCATTTGCCCACTCGTGTTACGTCAGATGTGAATTGAATTTAGTGAGCTCGATTATGAAGTGTTTCTAAATTAATTCTGACTGCTACTTAGATCGAGCGATTTTTCTCTGAACATATGTGACGCAATTCACGTTAAATTTTTGCTTCCGGTTGTTGGTTTTTCAAGCTCGCTTTCGGTACTTTTTCCAGGAATCTCACGTTCTTCGACAACATAAGTTCGGCTTTTTATAATACTGTCTTCCCTCGAAACAGAACTGCTATCGATTGAGAGACCAATTTATAAAGAACGTCAAATGACACGACTCCCGAAATATTAAAATATAAACAGACTTCTTTTCCTTTTCAAATAAGTATCTTTCAAAATTGAGTTTAATCATTATGATTATATTTTGAATTCAGTCGTTTCAACTCTCGACAACAAAAATATTGTACTCATCAGATAGTTTTTTTTCGGAGTTAAGAAACACTTCCCTAGATGTCAGTTTCATCAAAAATCTTGCTTGGTGTTAAATTTATAGATTGTAGTTTCAAAATCATACTTTCTAATTTTTCTAAGTGATGACGTGACGATCATGAAGCAATAAGTGCCTCATGCTTAATTCAAACTCTTAGACTTGAAGATAAGCTTCATCTGATACCTTTCCTTAGGCTTCAAAAGATGTTGTGCAGATATACATAGTCGGTCGCTGTGAAAAAGTCAATCAGTTCTGGTTTTCACGGGCAGCATCATTTTAGATTTTTTTGTCCGAACATTGCATTTTTATAGATTTGAATCAATTTACTAGTATTCAATTTTGAGATCTATCAAATTTTTCGTAGTTTAACTTCTCGCTCTTACTTAAATTTTTGTTCCTATAAGCAATATAACAAAAAAAATTGTTTCAAAACAAAAAACTGGTTTCAAAAAATTGTTATTTCAGATTTGAATGTTGATGAAAAACTTAAATCTATAGAGAGCACTAATCATGGATTCAAATAGCATTCCTTTCTTCTCGCCCTCTTCTTTCCATCGTGGGGAATCCACGAGTGCGAACATGCTGGACAGTCCTTACCATATAATAGGAGAATCGCCCCTCTATAACCAGACACTCACAGACTCTCCCTATCATATTCCGAGCTCAACCGAATCCCCCTTACACGAACCGGACCAAGCGCCCATGTATGCCTTGACTTCTCTCACGGGTTATTCAGTGTCACTGTGCATTGAAAAACCACCGGCACAGAGTGAAAGGTCCAAGTCTGAAAGGACAAAAAGAGCGAAAAACTTGACTGGCTTACATCGAAAAAGGCCATCCAACCGAAATTCGGGGAGTGCACAAGTAAAGCGACGTCGTGCTCCAAAAAACACGATTTTAACCGCTGGCTTGAATGATGCTGAATTAGCTGTGAGCGTGACTCTCAGAATGGAACGAGGCGCGAGTGAAAAGTTTGTTCATGTGGACTGTGATAACTCGGAGAACCACTCGGAAGATTCTGACTACGATTCTTCGGATATGGAAGATGCGGAATGTGGGAGGAAGCGGAGACTCTGTGCGAATCACATGGATTTACTGTCGTCCCATTATGAGAGGTTGAAAGAAAAGTAAGTCTGGGATCGCATTTATGGAAAAATATTGACTCTCCCCTTTCATACACATAAATAGCTTGTGTTCGTATCGTCTAGTAATTCATCTATACTTTAATGCTTTCCTAATTTTGGTCCTGCTTTTGCAAATGAACATTGACGTGTGTGCTTTAGATTTTACACGGATAAGTTGTCGAATATTGAGAGCAGAATTGAAAACGCGAAGAGTGGCAAATGTGTACAGTACCTTGCACAGACCGAAAAGGAAGAGAGCAAATACCACACCAGGATAAAACTAGCCGACACTGTTCTAAAGTACAAGCGAAAAGCAGCAGAGAACAACTTCTGTGCAAATGAGGCTTTCTTAGTGAAAGAGGCAGATGAAAAAATTGACCATTTTCAAACTGAAATGAGGACTTATTTACAATTTAAAAAAAGAGAGATACACCATTTTGAACACTGGCTCAGCGACAGTTCCGCAAATGAGCTGTTAATTATGAGGTGTTTCGCTTCTCTGCACAAAATTTTCAATGCGACGTTCCCTTTGCCGATCACAGAAAAAGTGGAGGACATTTTTGATCCTCTTATTTTGCGTCAGTTGACGGATAAAGAAATTGCCGAAGATTTGAGAAGAATGGTAGAAAAGAATGTTTCGACGACGACATCCGCAGCATCGGCACAAGTTACTCGAGCAAAAGTAAGATTTAGAAGCTGTAAAAATGATGAACGAAAGAAAGTTTCTAAAGCTAAAATTAAGGTAGATACAGTTCAGAAAACTGTCATGTTCAACGGCCACAACATACAGACTTGGATAAAACTATGCGTGCAGCAGAAAGGTCGAAAAGATTTTTACGGCTATGCGAGCGGAGTTGATAAAGATGGCGCTCTGATTATCAGTTCGGCGGCGACCGTCAAAGGCAGACAAAGAACCAATAGCGGTAATGCGGTGGGCTCAAGTCATAAACGAGTGGTAACTGTGGAACAGATACACAACGAAGAAATATTGATTAAACCTTTAATCTAAATATTTATTTTCGTATCTCTGTGAACGGTTTCTCTTGGTTTATCCTAGGTGATGTTGATTAGCTACCAGTTGATTAATAAATGTTGGACTGAATCCTCTTTCTGAAGAGCAGTCGAGCAATAACTAAACTGGGCAGTTTTTTCTCAAGGAATTATCAATTTATGATGTCTGTTTGGCGACGAAAATTGGCGACGACCTTTAAGACGTGGATTTTTTATGCTGACTTGATACTTTAAGTAGATTGAATTCTGGATGCACGTTTCGTCTCAAATGCTGCTCAGTGAAATGGCGGTGAAAAAGCGTCTCTATCCTTAGTCTCTCACTCACCCGAAAAGGTCCGCGGACCATTAATGCGAGCTGCATATGCCAAATATATCACTGACTGTTTTCAGATGTAAGATGTTTGAGTGGTGATACCAGAAGTAACTGTTTGTAGTCGCCAAATCATTTTAACTGTCACTTGAAGCTGAGTTGCATTAGTGTGGTGTACTGGTTCTGTTGAGAGCTTGAAGGAGGAGGAGTAGATAAAATGTTGCCTTTGACTCTTCTGAAGACTGCTCATGGACATCCAATGTTGGTGGAGTTGAAGAATGGGGAAACTTATAATGGACACCTGTCGTCGGTGGACACGTGGATGAATATCTGCCTCAGAGAAGTCATTTGCACCTCTAGAGATGGAGACACGTTCCACAGAATGCCAGAGTGCTACATCAGAGGAAACACGATCAAGTCCGTTGCTCTCCCCTAATTTATTCATTCGTCCATCGCCCCCTCCCCACCATTCTTTCACAAATAGAACAATAACAGCCTTCTTTAAGCCATAGACCAGAGAACCTTTGGATTTTGCTTTTTTTTCAGTTAAGATGATACTTCCTTCAACAAATGCAGGCCAAATTATTCTCTTCTACAACAAAAAAACAAAAGAATAAGAGGAAAACTGCAAGTTTACAACGGAGATAAAGAAAAGCCAAGCATAAATGAACTTGATAGTTAACTATGGGCAACCCAATTATCAACACTAACCCCTTAACCTTATTGTGATGAAAAGAAAGTTCTTACGAGTCGATTTTTCGTGGTTTGACTTTTGATTTCTTAACTTCAGTGCATTTCTTTTAAAAGGAAGGCAAACTCCACTATCGGACAGCAAAATTGTAAAGGTCACGAAAACGTAATCGACTTCTAATTTCGAAAATAGAAATTTATTGTCAGCTAAATAAAAGTTTTACCTTTTGATCCAGTTTTCTCAAATTGGGTCAATTTTGACAAAAAAAGTCTCCATCATAAATTGTTCTACAAATTCAAAGAGCTTTAAATTTTGATCAATAACCAGCTATTAAGTAGAACCAATGCTTAGGATATCAACACATACAATATATTACTAATAGCACTTTAGCTTCAAAGTATCATGGATCTGTAGCGGAGAGGCAGGGAAGGAGACCCGTAGCGAAACAAGAGGGTTCGAACCTGAGCAGGGTCGGATTTTTTTTAATAAACTTTTTCGTATACTAGTTAAAATGCGTCCGCCTTATAAATTGAGGCATGTTAGTAATAATATTTTTTTTTTCAATTGACTGGTACTACTAATCCGCCATAATTGACTTGCGTCGCTTAGAAATTGCGTAGACTCATAATTGGCGTGCGTAACTTGAGAAATTTTGTAGACTCAAAAATTACCTCATTCAGTTTTACCGAGTAGCGTTATCGGTCAAATTTTTGTTCGTGTATGCGAAGTGCAACTTCGCCTCTGTGTAATTTTTAACTTTCTCATTAGAATCAAAACTTTACCTATTGATCCAGTTTTCTCAGTTTCCATTTACTTTATCAAAGAAGTGCCGATCATAAATAAGAATTTCGAAAGTTAAAGGTTTTTTTCAAACAACACCTCACTTTTTCTGTTTCTTTGCATTCTTGACTCTTTTCCAACTGTCTGTCGGCTATATTCTCATTTCTGAATTTAGATTAAACTCAATTATTTAAAACACATTTTATGTCTGCTGCTGTTCAGATATTTGCGTATCCCCGATGAAATATTCAACATGGTCAAAGAAGAAAACCACCCACAGAAGATGGGAGGAGGAGGCTACCGAGGCAAGGGAGGGGGGCAAGGACAGAACAGAGGAGGAAGAGGGGCAAGGGGTGGATCTGGAAGAACGAGAGGGGCAGGTGGAGGAGGACGCGGGGGAGGAAGAGGAGGAAACCACTGACGTTTTCTTTCCTTCTGTTTGAATGTGCTCCGATAAGCTGGAACTCGACTTGTGCTCTTCATGATACGGCTTCGATTCTACTTTAATCGTACTACTGAGACCGAAATGGGAAAAACTTGGAGTTTTAACTGGTTATGAAAAGATCATGTATTTTGCTCTGGAAAAAGATCTTGTTACAAATCACTGGTCCATCCCACGTCCATCGGAGACCACCAGTGGGGAAAATGTTGATCAGATCTTAGAAAATATTATTTTGCCTGTTGTTTTTTTCTATTCAGCCAAAATGTTCCTCAATTTATTCTCCAAAATGCGGTTTTTATTTACGATTGAGACCAGAGAACGCTCATGTGGTGGTTGCCACTTTCGATATTTATCTTTTGCAATCGTTTTTGGTGTCATGGCTAGTTTTTTGAAACGCCATTATGTTTTCGGGGCCAGTGCCTGGCAAAAAGGGTGCACAGATATGTTAGTTGATCTTTTTTGATTTGTCTAATACTACTCAAAATCCAGTTTTCTCGATTACAAGACACTCTCGCAAGTGTAATAACACATTTCAATTCAAAAAAGATCAACTATTATGTTGGGGCTGAGCGGGGGGAGGGGTTCTGAGACCCCGTGTATTAAGACAGGCTATATTTTTCTGGTCCCAAGTTATGTATTAAGATAGGGAATAGGTTTTCAATGTATTAAGCTAGGTTATAGGTTTTGTCATGTGCTGTGATACAAGGTTTGCCAATTTAGCAGTGTGTAAGTTCCTCTACACCAATGTTTAGGAGGCTAAGTATTAGGATATCTTTTTATGAGGTTCTAAACAAATGTATAATGTTGAAACTATGCTGAATCCTAACTGAAACTTCGAAGTTTGAATTACAAATAAAAAATGTACATCACTGCATCGTATGGAATTTTACTACAATTTATACGTTAAATCTACAAGTTCAATGGTTAAGTGTGGATTCCATCATTAACAAGTTCGGAAAACAGAAAAGGAATTAGTGTTTATTGCTCGAAACTCATCAGCAGCATTCAACTCTGAAATCCGCAAATTTAACAACACTTCAAAAATTAAATAAAAAGCAACATGGAATGCCAAATAGTACTATTTTCGAAAATCTCCCCTGTGTTGAGATGTGATTTCAGGCGGTCGATATGCAGCGCTTCTAATGTTCTGGATTTCTAACGATAATCGAATACTCAATTTCGTTGGAACCACCACAATTTTTCAGATGGCTCCTCACAGGAGTCGTTGCAACCAAATGTTCAGCTAGGCGGGTTCTTAAGTGTCGAACCGTCTTGCCGAGAAAGCAGAGAGAACAACCTGTACATACGATTTTTTTGAAACAACTGGCTTGCTGAGGTTGGTTCCAATTTTTGTCTTTAGGGACGGAAGCGCTTGTTTGAGCTTTTCGGTTGTTGGAACCACATTAGCCCCACAGAGACGTCTGACATGCTGACTGAGCGTGTCCGATATGTTCCCCCGGTACTGTATAATCAAAGTAACTCGCTGCTCGCATCTCTTTGCTCCTGTAACTCCAGTAGGTTGTTTCTCGCCGTTCTTAATGACGTCTATAGTACTACTGATAATCGGGTCATAAAAATCATGCGGATACTTATTCTTTTCCAGTATCTCTTTCAGCTTGAATCTGCTCCAGTTGGACGACGAGTGATGGATACTGCGGACCGCCACACTAACAATGGTCGGCTTTTATCTCTAGGGAGCACATGCGTGGAAAGCCAGATGGACACCCGTGTCAGTCGGTTTTGAGTACCAACTAGTCTCAAGTTGTTGTTGTAGTTGCCTCTCGCCGGGGCCCTACATTGTGGGGTGTACCCCGGCCAGGTCAATGAAACGGGCGGCTTCCACCGGGTTTGTCCAAAGGGCAGTGAGGGGGAGGTTAGTGGGGTTTTTGGGGCACTGGAACAGGTGGGCAGTCGTGTGGGGGGCTGTATGGCAGAGGGGACAGGAGGACCCTTTGTCTGGTTCGAGCCTGGCCCGGTACGACAACAGGTGTTGACTGTAGCCGGACCGAAGTTGGCTGAGGGTCCTCCGAGTACGTCTGGGTAGGGTCTTCTCCTCTCGGACGTTGACAGGAGGGGGTCTTGTACCGAGGACTCCAGACGGTGGATACGACTGGGTTGTCGTCGCCACCGTCTCTGTGTGCACAGTTTTCAGGAGCCGTCGGTACTCCTTCGTTGGTAGCGGCAGGTCAACGCCTTCGAGGAGGTGTTCCAGACGGGGGGCATGGGCAGAGACTAGTGTGGGTTTCATTTTGCGGGGGGGGGGGGGGGGGGAGGTTTCTCGAGGAGTCTCTGACAAGGGTGTTCGGGGAGGTGGCAAGCCAAGAGATGTTGTGTTGCAAGCATTGCCGTGTGGGCTTTCACCGGGAGCACCTGCGTCTCTTCGTGTAGGTGGCTTTGGGGGGACATTAGATGGTTCCCGGTGGCGACCCGCAGAGCCGCGTTTTGGATGGTCTGCAGACGCTTGACACTGGTCTCGGATGCGACTGTAGACCAAACTGGGGCCGCGTATTCGAGACGAGGCCTGACCAAGGCTTTGAAGGTCACGAGTAGCGTTTCCGTGTCCTGACCCTAGTCCGTGCCTGCCAAGGCCTTCATGGCGTTGACCGCCCTGGAGGCGTTGGAGGCAGCGACCCTGCAATGTTCCCCGAACTTGAACATCGGGTCAAACCTGACACCAAGTACTTTGGGGTGTTTTTCCAACTTGAGCGGGATATCTGCCACCGTCAAGTGTGGTTGTACGTTGCATTCCTTGGTGTCAGGCGTGAGTAATGTTACAGCGCATTTTCCGGGGGAGAGTGCGAGTTTGAGGGATTGAAAGTAGGACGTTAGGGAGTCGAGGTATGGCTGCAACTTAACGATGATGATATTGATCTTCGGCCCGCTGGCCCAGGGCGTCACGTCGTCTGCGTAGCTCACCACGTTGACACCCTCGGGAGGGGAGGGGGAGGGAGCCAACGTAGGAGTTAAACAGAGTCGGTGATATGACTGAGCCTTGCGGAACACCTGTTCGGACAATTCTGGCGGGAGATGTCTCACCGCGGAACAGGGTGCGTGCTTGGCGGCCGGTCAGGTACCCTGAGAGCCAGCGGGTCAGCGAAGGGGGTAGTGAAGTTCTGCTCAATTTCTCCAGCAGGGTGCGGTGACATACCATATCAAAGGCGTTGGAAAGGTCCAATGTCACCAGTACCGTGCGGTCTGCCGGTTTCTTTTAGTTGAAACCGTCGGCGACCGCGCTGGAGATTTCGAGCAGGGCAGTTGTGGTTGAGTGGAGGGGGCGGAAGCCGTGTTGGCGTGGTTCTGGGGTCAGGTGGTATTGAAGTATTGGGAGGATGCAGGCTTCCAAAATTTTGACAGCGGGGCAGAGTAACGAGACGGGGCGGTAGGAGCACCAGTCCTGTGGGGGTTTTCCGGGCTTGAGTAGTGGTATGACAATTGATTTTTTCCAAATGGCGGGGATTTGGGACTTTGCGAGGGAGCCATTGAAAACTTTGTTCAGCCAGGCGACGCCGTGCTGTCCGAGGTTTTTCAAATGCAGTGCGTTTAGCCCATCGGGGCCGCACGCCTTCGAACTCTTGCACTTGCGGATCGTCTTGCTGACTTGGAACGGGGTCATCTGTATGGGGGTTTCGAGGGAAAGTGACTTCAATTTGCGTTTGATGACTCGGTTCTCTTTTGAGCTTTCATGTTTGATTGGGGCCGTCAAATGCTTGTTGAAAAGTCTGGCTTGGTCCTTAGGTCGGGTGTATGTGCGTCCGTCAAACCTGATGGACGGGTTTGGCGGGTCGCGTTTTTTGCCGTCAATGGTACGAATGGTCCTCCAGAGTTTCTCTGGTTTTGTTTTGTGATCAAATGTCTGGAGGTATTCGTGCCATCGGGCAGTTTGGGACTTCCTGTGGATCATCTCGATTTTGTTGTTGAGGAGTGGCAAGTCTGGGGATGTGGGGTTGTTTGTCCTCAGGGCATCGCGTTGGCTGAAGAGCTTGGCCGCTTCTGTCGGTAGGCCTGGAGTGCTCGTTGGGCGACGGCCAGACGGGATGTGGTGCTTGGCTACCTTGTTTACGATCTCGCGGAACAACCTTTCTCCTTTGTAGGGATCGGGCTGCTCCTCGAGAGACGCGAACGCAGCTTCTGTTTCCGACTTGAAGCCGTCCCAGTCCGCGCGGAGGAAGTTTATGAAGGTCTTGTTCGGGGCTGGAATTGTCAGGGGACTGGTTGATAGTCGGATGATGACTGGCAGGTGGTCGGAGCTCAGCGTGGTTTCCGTCTCCCAGCTCAGTTTCGACAGGAGATCTTCTGAGGCAAGGGATACGTCAGGAGAGGTTGCCTGGCCCGAAGTTGGTATACGGGTCGCTGTGGGTGTGTTCAGCGCTCCAAAGCTCGATGCCTCAATTTCGTCGGCTAGGGTCTCTCCGCGCGAGTCCTGAATGGAGGAGCACCAAAGGGGGTCGTGTGCGTTGATGTCGCCCAGTATCAGGGAGCATCTAGTCTCGAGGAAAGGGGTCAACGAGGGGGTGAAGTTCGAGGGGCAGCTACTGCTGGGGGGATGTACACGTTTCTTATTGTGAGCACCTCGTATAGGAGTGGGATTTGAATCGATTGGTGTTCGAGGGGCTCGCCAGGAGGTGTGTTCTCGTCTACAGGGGTGAAAGGGATTGTGTGGTGCACGAGAAACATAAGTCCTCCGCCGGCTCCGCTTCCTCGGTCTTTTCGGACTATAGTGTAGTCTTCAAAGACTGGGTCTTTCCCTTTGGCTGTGAGCTTTGTCTCCTGCCAGGCGGCCACTTTGATCTTACGGGTACGGAGAAAACGGCTCAGTTCTGTTGTTTTGTTCCGTATCCCGTTGCAATTTAGTTGCAGGAACGTCAGTGGTTCTGCCTTCGGTTTTCGGGGTCGTGGATTTGGAGGTGGGATGGGATCTCGTTTGGTGGGGTGGGGTGGTGTAGTGGGGGTTGGAGGGTCGACAGTCCGGGTGGTTGCTTGGGAGGGTGTGGGTGCACTGAAAGGCGTGACTGGTGGACACCTCGGGCGGACGTAGTCTCTGTGCCATTCGGCCACAGTCCGAAGGCCGCTGCACCGCTGGTGAATCCAGGTTCCGCAGCAGTGGCACCATACGGTGGTCCCGCCTTCCCAGGTTTCAGTGCACACCGTGCAGGGGGATTTCAGTGTCTGAGGGCGTCTGGGTGGTCCAGGGTTTGGCTCGACGCCGGCTCTTAGTAGACTCGCCGGCTTAGGCTGATCCGATAACAAAAACCCGGCTGAGGGTCCCACGCATGGGCGCCCGGTGAGAGG